CAATGGCAGTTTCTGGTGGAACACTCGAGATCACGGTACGAGCACAAATGGCAGAAACATTGTCGCATAGCCTTTAAATATAAGAATTATAAGCGATTTTGTCTGATCTATGTTATCTGTTTCTGTAACCTGCGAATGTGAAAGGATTTAAATAAAAATTGCTTAACCTCAATTAAGTTGTGTGTTTCTTCTTTCCTGTATGGTCCCAGAGCCAATATTATTGGCTCTGGCAAAAAGAGGCGATCGGTCGGAACAAATAAACTTAAAGCTGTATAATTAGTCATATTTGCGGGTTCTCGACTACAATGGAATTGAAGGGCCGTAGATTGCGAAGCGTAAAAAGGCTTCGCAAGCATCTTTCAATTAGAAAAAGCGAGAAGGAGAATCTCAATGGCAGTTTCTGGTAGTTTTCTGGTGGAACACTCGAGATCACGGTAGCCTTTAAATATAAGAATTATAAGCGATTTTCTCTGATCTATGTTATCTGCACCCGATAAGCAAGATGGCAGCAACCAACAGTGCTTTCAGAACAGAAACCAGAGATGAGCATCTTTACAATCACATAGAGTTGTTCAATAGGTCGTCTTCACCAATCGACGCTCCAGCAGCAAACCGTTACCAAGATTGCAGAGAGCAACAACCGACAGAAAATCAGATCGCGACAGGTCAGCGTATGTACAGTGATTACAAAACAGAATCCAACAATGAACACCTTTACAATAACATACAGTCAATCAATGAACCGTCTTCACCGGCCACCGCAAGCCAAGCAGCAAACCAAACTTCCCACTGTACTTTTCGTCACACCCAACGAAGGATGACAGCACTCAATGCACTCAATAGTGCTTTCAGAGCAGAATCCAGCTATGAAAATCTTTATGATCACATAGAGTTATCTAATATGCAGTCTTTACCCAGGTGTTTACCAAGCGGAGCCCCACCAGTAAACCAAACTTACCAAGAGGAAGCAGTATACCAGAATGACGAAGGGAATAACAGACCAGTAGCAACCAATAGTGCTTTTAGAGCAGAACCCAACGATGAACATCTTTATAATCACATAGAATTATCCAATAGACAGCCTGTACCAAGCAGCGCCCAAACGGCAAACCAAATTTACCAAGAAGAAGCAGCAAACCAGAATTACGAAGGGAATAACAGACCAGTAGCAACCAATAGTGCTTTTAAAGCAGAACCCAACGATGAACATCTTTATGATCACATAGAATTATCCAATAGACAGCCTGTACCAAGCAGAGCCCCAACGGCAAACCAAATTTACCAAGAAGAAGCAGCAAACCAGAATTACGAAGGGAATAACAGACCAGTTGCAACCAATAGTGCTTTTAGAGCAGAACCCAGCGATGAACATCTTTATAATCACATAGAATTATCCAATAGACAGCCTGTACCAAGCGGAGCCCCAGCAGAAAACCAAATTTACCAAGAAGAAGCAGCAAACCAGACTTACGAAGGGAATAACAGACCACAAGAACCCATGAGAAATATTGCGATACGTCACCGTATGTCATTTGCTATGATAGCTGTTCTGGTCCTATGCCTCTCGGCAGCGGTTGGTGCATCGATCAGTTTAGCCATCAAGATGTCTTCGGAAGGTAATTTTTTCAATTAATTTGAATATGGCTAATTCTAATAAGACATGTTTTTAAACCGGTTGATCTGGATTGATCCAACCATCTTTCACCCCGGGGGGAACTCCCATATAAAAGTGACGGGGGAGCTAATAGGAAAATTAAAATTATACCCCTAAGGGATACCAACGTAGATGTGGCTAAAGCTTAAACTGACCTCTAAAGGAGAGCATACTAAAACAGACTTCATGGCATTTTTTGTAATTTTTTTTTTTATGTACAGCCCTAAGCGATACCTAAATAGGCAAAATGTAGTGACTTTCCTTCCCAAACATCCCAAGTGAGTCCAAAATTTTTGCAATTTACACGGCGTAAGCGAGACTACGAGCATCCCCAGTCACTTTTATATGGGAGTCCCCCGGCTCTTTCACTTTATTTCATTGTACACAGCGGATGGTATTGGCCATCTCTCGTTCCCTTTAACCAGGGCATTCAGCACGTTTTAGGGTTTACATCATATTATTTTTAGGCCACAAGTACTTGGGTGACCGGAAATCGTATGATCTTTAGCTCTTTCGTGAATGAATCTAATGAGATCGGCAATATTTGATTCACTTTCATTTATATGTTTGTGGCTGCGATTAGCCTGTTCCAGGCTCTCAGATAATAGAAACGTTGCGAAAATAAGACGCGCTCGATCTGGGGAAGGGGTCGGTGCGCGCGTTTTTCGCATAATTGTTTACTGCACGACTACAGGTTACCATCTTGGAGCCAGGGAACAGGCTAGGCTACGATACGCTAATAAGTTCCAAAACGGCGAAACAAAGCTGTCTGTATCTTCCCTTTAGCTATGAGCTCTTAACAAGACGAGTCTAATGTTAAATGTGGTACAGGGACGGGGAGGAGGGGTTCCCATACAAAAGTGACGGGGATCCTCGTCGGAAATTTAAATTAAACCCCTAAAGGCCTGGGGGGTACTCAATACAGTAGTTTTATACAAGGAGGGTCCGCTCCGCGGTCCAACCCCTTATACTTTTATATACCATTCAGGGCCACAGAATAGATTATGATGGGTTAGGGGTTCTGAGAGGCCAGCGGCACATACCCAGCAAAAATTGACCCAAGTAACCCCCAGGGCTGGTTTTTCATATCTGGCGTGTCCCACGTTTTAGCCTAGAATAACATATAGATTTAGCCAGGGCTAAAAGCGAAACTCTCTTTAATACTTATAGTTTCCTCAAAAAAAATAAATAAATAAAATCGAGTAATACTAAAGAAACGGTGAAGACAACGAGAACGGTAAAAAACGACAATAGATCTAATTAGCAAAAAGACAAATTTACACGTTTATTCTAATTAGCAAAAAAACTACTTTGCACGTGCAGCACACTTTTTTTAGCATTTCCTTGCCGTTGTTTTGCACGACTTAAACGTGGAACTTCTTTTAACTTCCTAGTTACACGTTTTATGGAGGAAATGTTTGTGTTCCCTATCACTGTTTTTTCACTGCAGCTCATTTCACCTTGGAAGTCGCTAGCTTTTTTCATTTTCTCACCGCCGCTATATAATTTTTATGTTTTTCCTTCCAACGAAATTGGCCTCCGTTGTTTTTTTTTTTATTTCTCACTCTAGCTCTTTCCCTGTTATCCACGTTAATTTAGACATTCAAATTTAGTCTAAAGAAAGACTCGGCTTTTTTTGTTGTTGTTGATTTTCTCTCTCTCTAAAAGTCTGGGTGGCCATGTGATTTACCGCCGAAACAAGCGGGATGCTTGAAATGAAAAATTTCACCTCAGCTAACATGAAAGGGCGGACGTACGTACGTACGGACGGGCGGGCGGACGATTACGTCACAACCAAAATTTCTTGGATGCATAGATGACCGGTAATAGTAGATTATAATTATTTTACTCTATATAAAGCTTCGAGTTTAACCCTTAAAATAATTTGACCAAAAAGGGTTCGCGTTTTCGTCTCTCTTCGGTGCCGCATATTTATACTACGAAGTCACGGTTCGAGGTTGTCCGCTATAGTGAGAAGTGATTCAATTTGCTTTTATTGAAATGGTGGATGAAAATTGATCGCTCTTTTTGATATACAAATCATGTCCAGTGACATACAAATCATGTCAAAGAGAAAGTAAAATCAACCATTACAGCTGATTCTTAAGTCGCGAGACAAGCCGATTGATAAAACGGATTACAAAGAGAGAAACGAATTGCTCTTACTGGAAAGAAAACAAAAACTTAATAACAGCCTGGAAACCACTAAGCTGAAACTTATGTCATGTTAGGCCCCTTTCAAACGTGGAATTTCTTTCAGTATGAGTGCCGAACACCTATTTTTGTCGATGAAAGTAATAAAGGCACAATTAAATACGGCAGTTGATTCAGACGTCGGATGTGATGGTGCCGAATTTAACTCCGTTTGTTGTAAATATTCCCAGTCTCTACAAATTTTTTTTTTTATCCAATATGGATAAGGTTTTCTACAACTAATGCATTATATTCGGCACATGTGAAATGCGACTTCTAAATCAAATGTTAAGCTTAAGTCGAATTTTCGACTGTTTCAGTCGCAGATTCGACAAAGTCGTATTTAATTTAAAACTGCCGAATTTAGCTGATTCAGTCGTTCCATCTCAAAGCAGTTACCTCTCGAATTCAATTAGGCACATGTGAAAATCGAGGATTGAGCTGGGTAATGACAACAGTGTCCAGTAGTGTTGCTGATAATACCGGTAGATACGCTATTATACATACCGCATTTTTTATATTCCTGTAAACTTTGCTTTCAATTTACCACATTATGTTACAATTTATATGCATCACTCGGGTAAAAAAGAGAGTAGAAAAAAATATTTTTAAAAACAAAAAAAAATAAGGTTACGAAGAATTCGCTTCAAGGGGTTTGGAACCTGGGCCCTAAGAAATAGTAGTTAGAACTAAGAGTTAACATCACTATCCACTGGTCCACCTCGGTGAACGCGGACAATTCTAGTTTAAAAGAGATATATATTCCTTCTCTATGGTGATTGACAGTTTTCAAGGATGACTTTTTCGTTTTTTTTTTTTTAATTTCCGTGTAGAATTAAATCTTTAACTGGTCGAAGCTAGACGTAAAGATCACAATAAACCTATTAATATTCTTTCAGGCTTGGTCCATGCCGGGAAATAACGTTGCAGAAATTTATATGAACTATCGATCGCACGGCTACCGACTGAACCGTATGACCGTACGATTCTCTCCCTGCTCGTAAGGTGTCTTTTCATCAGTCGGGGAAAACATAAACACAACATTGTTCATCATTATTTTTATTGTTTTAGGTTAGGGTAGCAAACCATGTGGCTTTTAGGGTTAGAACAGCTGCTTCAAAAATGAAGAAAAACAATGTAGCCGCCAAATACATCCTTTTAGTTTTTTAAGTTCTCCTTTATTAACAAACATTGAACATTTATTTCAGCAAAAAAAAGTTAAGGTGAAAAAGGATTTTACAAAAGTCTCAAGAGTAGGTCTCCTTTTCGATTTTAACTTGAAATATTGGTCAATTTACGCAACTTTTAAACTTCTGGCTCAGTTGTCGTTTGGTTCTGCTTTGAAAACGGAATGATAATTACTCAGAAATACAGTGTAAAGCAAAAAACTTGCCAATTTATGACAAAAAAAGGTACTTCAAAAACGAACTAAAACAATGGCAAATGTTATTTTGTTGTGGTATGACAGTCCTCTAGGTATAAAATTGTCAAAGTTATAAAGCTTTTTAAAAAATTACCTCAAAGGATTCTGGGAGATTTTTTTATGACAATTATAATTTACTTTTATAATAATTGTTATTGAAATCCTTGTGACATAGCCCCTTTAAGTTATTAGTATAGAGGGTAGAAGTCACGTCACGTTGCTATGGTAGCCAATTGTTTGGTTAACAACAAACCAATAAAGTCACTTAAAGTCTATTCGCACTATTTCAAATTTCACCGATCTTATTCGATTTCATTTAATTTCCCAAATTTTGGCGAAATTTTCTTCGGAACCGTATCTATCGTTATCTAAGTTTGCAAAAAGAAAGGGAAAATTTTTCTGCTGCGTTCACCTACGCCATAGAGCGGGCTTGCGAAATTGGGAAGTTTCATGTCGTAGTGGTGCAACGACGGCAAAGAATTGTACAAATAGCGTGATGCACATGCAAAGCTGATTTTTTGTTAATGTAAACGCATTATGTTTTGCCGTTCTCCTTGCCGTCGTTGGTTTTGCTGTCATCCAGAAATAGTGCTACCATAGTAAAGTGACGTCACACTTCTCCTCTCTATTATAACTACGCATAATGCTAGCCAACCATGCGTTCTAAAATTTTTTTAGGTTGTCCCAGTGATTGGACGCACGTTAAAAGCTACTGTTACTTTGTGAGTAAAGAACCCAAACAGTGGGGCGACGCCCAAACGTTCTGCGAAGATCGGGGGGGAGAGCTAGTGGAAATAACCAGCTTCGAAGAAAACGAATGCGTATTCAAACTTGTTAACAAGCGCGAGCCATCTCTTGAACGGGTTTGGATCGGGCTCAAGTATTATCAAGAGGTGAACAAGTTCCTATGGTCTGATAAGACAGCTCCATACTTCAAGTACTGGCCGAATTTCACTGAACCGCAAGGAAACGACAGTAAACCGTGCGTCTATATGTTCACTTTGAACAGTCCCGAACCAAGCAAGGCTGCGGGTTCCTGGAATGATGTCACCTGTGGGTCTTCCTATGGATTTGTGTGCAAGAAGTTGCAATATTTGAGTAATATTTAATGCACTCAAATGACCAAATTAAAGCCGAAGGCAGTTGAGGGGATTTCTCTTCTTTAGTATATCGCGTATAAAACGTATGTTTTCTGATTCGCTTTACTTTTTTAAAATTTATTTCTTTTAAATCATTTAACAGGCATGCATCCAGCAATGACTGAGCCGGATTGTGTGACGCTGTCACCTCTTTAGAAGTCTATTGCCACTGTTACCACAACATTACCATATTTTCGGGAAAAAAAGCGCGGTAAATAGTCCAGTTTCGAGTTCGTAGCGGCCGCCTAATAGACGCACTGAAGACTCATTTACTCAAGCAGGGTTAGCCTCGACCTAAAGTAAAATATTCACAAAATACCGGCGATAAAGTGCCTGAATTTGAGTTTAAAACATAGAAAAAGTTGTACACAGGTCTTGTTCTGACTGGAGTTTGTGAATATATTAACCTTAGGTCGAGGCTAACCGGTATAAATGAGTCTTCAGTGCTTCTATTCAGCGGCCGCGATGAATTCGAAACTGGACTATTCGTGCGTGCTGCACTATAAGATTTTGATGTGGTGCTAAACTCGAGACAATAAGACATCTCGGAGCAAACAACTACCCAAATCTATGACATCGCTTCAATATTTCCTCAGTTTTGTGCCTAAGTTAGACAACTTTAAAGGGTTTCAGTGGACAGGAAATTCGGATTAAAAAAAAATTCAATTTTTTAGGCGAAATTAAAGACCCGCTGAAACAAGTACCAGTAAGATTTATTTTAATGTTATGTGCTTCCAAGTGAGCTTTGAGTATGCATAAGTTTTTAACATAGTCTTTGTAAGGAAATGAAAGGATTTCGGTACTCACCGTAGTCAAAAACATATCGCATATATGGCTCAGTCACTTGATTCCAAGGGTGCCCATCCTCCTCCCGGACGTCGGGCGTTTGTCATCTTGTCGGTTCTGGCTGTGGGGAATTTGTCAGAAAACCTCTGCCCGGGGGTGGGGCATTTTCCAATCCTTCTAGAATGGGTTAATATCGTTCCTTTTTCAATATTTCACCTAAAAATATGCCTATTAAGATAGACAAGACAATATATTGCTAGTTTAATCTTTGTCACAGATTCCTCTTATCTCAGGCGATGTTTAACTCTGACTGGATCACCTCCTCCAAGTCGCAAGCGAGAGCAAGGAGAGAGGACGTGATGCACATAGCAAAACATCACAAAGACATAGTATAAGGATTGTGTATTTTAAATAGTTTCGTAGGAAAGCCAAAACGAGAGTCTTCTGTAATTATTTAAGGGAGATCGCAAGAGTTATGTTAACATTAGCAGAGACGAAAGTCAAGGTTTTAAGAGGGAGTCTCCCTAAAACCGGTCCACTGCGTTTCGGGTCGGAAAATCAATTTCCTTTAAACTTTGCCCATGAATATATCTTAGTCCAAAAGTAACTGAAACCGCATTAGTTTTTGAAAATATTTCAAAATAAAATTTTTCGGGAGGAAAATCACTTCAGCACTCGAAGGCCAAATTTTTGCAGTGACAAAGAGTAAAAATAGCGCATATTGCCGAGTTCACCACTTCAAAGTTTTGCACTTTCAACGACTTTTTTCACTTCCTAGGATTAAATTGGTCCTTAAATGATGTAAAGGACACAATTTTGGTCCTTCAAAAACAACTCGTGTCTACTAAATATTTTTTGATTTACACCCACTTTGCCGTACGCAGGAAATGACTCAAAAATGCATATTTTCATCGTAGCACTGTGCAAAATCCCCACATCTTCT